GTCATCTTGTATGGAAGCGATGCCGTAAAGCTTGTAAACGCGCCTTCGTGAATGTCGGTGGAGAATGCGTCCGTGTTGATGCCGGCGATAGCGTCCTTGTCGGCGAGCTGCAGGAGCCCAAAAGCGAGAATGTAGCGCCCCGCTGGCAGCGTCATCACCAAATACGGGTCGTTGCTCGAGATGCTGCCGTCGTCGCTGCCCATGGACGGCAGCGCTCGTCGCAAGTCGTCACTCGAGTACAGTGCGCCTCCTACATACATGGAGTTTGAGGTTCAAATTTCAATGATTGGTGTCTCGCTACCTGGTAGGAGTTTGGAGTAGACGCGCAGTGTTGTGCCACCCGTCGAGTAGGTGATCCGGCAGTCGCGCAGCACGTCAACGCACGTATTGGACGTCGTGTTGAGCTCGTTCACGACGACATCAACCATAATCTTGGTCGGGGCTTGAACGACCAGCTCATAATGATCAACCGTTGTATAGCGCGGTCGCCGGGGCACAACGCCCTGCCGAATCGCGCCAAAGTACGGCGGGTGGCGAAACGGCAGAGTCGGCGCGCGTGGGAACTCCACGGGATCTGGAAACGCGGGTATGGTGCCAAAGCCGTCACCCAGCGCATTCGCGGGCAAGAGATTTTGAAAGAGAAGGTCGCGGACGATACAGGCCATTGGAATCCCCGCGTTGGAACAGGCAGCAGCACCACAATAGTGCATCGCGACAACCGTATTGGTCGTCGCATCCAGAACTGGGGCGCCGGACGAGCCCGGCTGCGTGTCTGCATCATACATGACACCTCCTCGATAAAAGCCGTCATTGTTGAGGTCGCACCTACAAACACAAGCGATGACGCTGCGTCCTGCAGCACGCGTCATCACGAACCCTTTGGACGTGAGTCCTGTGATGGTTGTCGGCAACGTCGTTTGGTTCCTCGACGCTATTGTCTTGCACCCGCCATTCGGATGTTGTGGCACATAAATTTGCATGCCGCGTGCTATCGCGAGCGTCGGGTGGACTTGGAGATACCCGTAGCTTTGCACGAGGCTCGGCCCGGACGAGAGCAGCAAGAGTGTGTAGTCCAGGATCACGTTGGTGGTGACCCAAGTCGCGGCCACGGACGCGACGGCGCCGCTGCACACAGTGTAGTCGACGTCGACACCGCACCACGACGCTTCGGCTAGAAACTCGAACTGCACTTGGTTGGCATCGCGGGCACTGCCTATAGGAATGAATCTTGTATAACTCAAAGAGGTTCGTAAGGGTGCACCTATGCAGTGGCTCGCGGTGATGACGTGGCCTTGACTGCCCCAGAGCCAGCCCGTGCACATCTTGAAGCCATCGACACCAGGTGTCGGCACCCAAATACGCACGACGGGTCGGCTATAAGCGTACATGCTCGTGAGCGGCGACGTCGTCGTGTAGTTGCAGATCGCGTGGGTGCTGCGGGTGCCACAGCCTTGCTCGTCGCTTCTGCTGCCCGAAGCCGAGTTGTCATGACCGCTGTCGAGACTGGTAAAATAGCTGTACATATCAACGCCGACACCAAAACCATTGGCGCAGTACGAGACACGGGTCGTGCGCCGCAGCCGAAGGCGCCAGAGGTTGGCAAAGAGGCGCGGTGTCCAGAGCCCCGAGCTCGTATTGCCGACGGGCGAGAGATGCGCCGCCGAGAGGTCGAAGGTCGGTGCGTCCACAGCGACAAGCTCCGCGCTGTCGCCGGGCGGGAGCACGAGCGTCGATATCCGAAAACGCATTGCGATCGCCGCCTTTTCAAAATACGCGGCGCTGAGCCACCCCGACTCGAGCGGCTCGACGCAGGACGGGCCGACGCCAGCGCCAATGCCTTCGATCGTTGGAAGAACGACTGTCTTCAAGCTGCTCGGTGTCGCCAGCAGTTGGGCGCCGCATGCCGCCGCGGTCGCCGTGAGCACCCAGAGCCACAGGGACGTCATCAAGGGATGCAAAATCCACCGAGCTAAAATCCCGTTATGGTGAAACCGAACATGACGGCGTTCGGCCGAGGTGCGCGACTTCGAAGCTCGTTCTGCGCAACATCCAAGGACAGTGTAATGATAATACCAGTCCGCTCTTTCTTCGCACCAACCCGTGAAGCTCATTTGACCAAGGGCTTGTCGCGTTTCCACTTAGAGGCAGACACGGATTGTAGGGTCAATGGTACTGTATATATGTTGGTGTTTTCGTCAGCGCATGTCGTACGAGGCGTCGAGAATCGCTTCGCATTGACGAATGAGCGCTGCCTCGCCTTCCATGGCGCACTCGGCCACCTTTGGCACGGCGGTGGAATGCTTGATCGTGAGGGGCACGGTCGCTGAGAGCGTCACGCGGTAGGCGCCGCTGTCGCCAGACTCGGTGGCGACCCCCGCGCAGCCCAGAAGTTGGGTGTATGGATAGCCATTGCGCCCGCGCCTCGCGTCGGCAAGCGCGAGGTTCGTAGCGCCAACTGCGACCGTGTGCGCACCGGCGGGTAACACCGCCACAAGGTATGAATCGTACGTCGAGATGCTGCCGTCGGCCTTGCCGGCGCTCGGGTCCACTGAGTCGACGTCGTCGTTCGTATACGGTGTGTACTGCACTACAAAGCAACATTATTGTCTATCCAATCAAAGACAATATCCATACCGGCGGAATCGTTGGAGAAGACGTGGATCATCGTGTCCACATAAGCAATGCGGCAATCGTCGTTGACGTCGGCAAACGCCTGTTTATAGCCGTCCCGTTCGAACGAGAGGACATCGACGATGACGACGCCGGGGGCTGCCAGTTGAAAGGTGATGTGATCGACATTCGTCACCCATCCGTCCGAGAACGACCCACTTTGTACGATGACGCCGTCAACGACTGCCTGCTTTGTAAAGGGCGACCCAACCCCCGGAAGGTTGGTGCCGTACGGGCTCACGGTGGGGTCGCTAAACGGCGGCACGAGAGGGGGCGCCCCGCTCGCAATCGCGTTGGGTGGCAAGAGATTGTGCCGTCCGAGGTCCTGCGCGATCCACAGCATCGGAATGCCCGCATTTCGACAAGCCGTCGCACCGCAATAGTGCAACGCCACAACAGTGTTGGAGTCCTTGTTCAGCACCGGCGACCCCGACGACCCGCCGTCCGTGTCCAGGTTGTAAGCGTAGCCGCCTTTGCTGTCGCAGCCGGACGCCGCCAAGCTTGAGATGCTCGTGAATTGGTTGTCGTCGTTGAGATACGAGAGAAGTTTGCATCCGCCGCGCGGGTGCTGCGGCATGTACACGGGCATGCCGACGGTGGCCGGACGCGGTGCGGCTTGGAGGTACCCATACTTGGCGGGAAGGTCACCCTGGAGCTTCACGAGCGAATAGTCGAGCGTCGCATTCGTATAAATCAAAGTGGCCGTGATGGCTTCCGTGACACCGGCACACATGCCATCGCGCTTGCCTTGACAGAGGTAGCTCTCGGCGACAAACTGAAACTGGGCGCTCAAGGCGTCGGCCTCGGAGCCTACACAAAGCAATGACCTCGTCAACCCCCGTGATGATGTCGGGGGCGTACCAATGCAGTGGTGGTTGGTGATCAAATGCCCGGCCGAGCCCCAGAGCCAGCCCGTGCAGCCCTCGGCCGACTGCGATCCAGGGTTGACGACAATACGCGCAACGGGCCGCCCAAACGCGTACATGGACTCGCGCGGGGCCGTCGGAATGTACGCGCACGCAATGTGTTGACTCTGGTCCCGCCCACACAAGTCTTGTTTCTCGGACGTCGCGTTGGCTTCAAGAATCGTGTCTTCTTGCGCGGTCGGGACAAAGGCCTCGAGCTGCACACCATAGTTGGTACCGCTGCTACCATCCACGCACGGCGCGTCCAAGACAAGGGCGAGCGTATTGTAGTACGTGCGCGGGCCTGCCACGACATTGAAGGCCATGTCGGGAGCAAAGAACGTCGTCAGGTCGACGTGCACGCTTCCATTCGTCAAGACAAGCGACGCGTTCGGTGGTAGCTTGAGGTAGGCAAAGACGGGCATGATGGCCACGGTGACAAGGCCCCGCGTGTACGACGACGTCATCCACGCGCCTTGCCAGCTAATGCGCGTCTTGGCGTCATCACACTGAAACGCATTGGTGTGCTCGTGGACCGAACCCGCACCAAAGGTGCAACCAGAGACCGAGACGGCATTGGGCCATCGGGTTCTATCGACCAGAGCCGCCACAACGCCCATACAGCATTGCAGGAGGAGGAAACGCATGCTGCGTCGTTCGTCGATTCGCTAGTGAGCTATGTGTGCAGGTGTCACAAAGAAGACGCTCATCCTTGGCGTTGGCAGTGCAACGTCCAACCCGAATTCTCCTCCATAAAAGAACGTTCGTCTCGTCAACGCAGTGACACTCGCACACCTCTTTACAGCGGTAGAATATCGCGACGGGGAGGAGGCTCCTACGTCTATGGCGGCCTCAGTCGGCGTGAAGAATGCGCGAGTCGAACGCCGGCGGGTCTGTCGGCTTTTGGATCACGGCAGCCCATTGCATCATCTTCTTCATCCCGTCGATTGTCATCATCTCGACCAGCTCCGGATGCGACTGCCTACACAGAAATGTCGTGGTCTTGCATGCTGCCCAGATCTGGGATGCGTACCACATGTGGCACCACTCGTCCAACGAGATGAAACCGGGCTTTTCCCGTTCGGCCTCGAGAAATATTTGGTCGACGGCCAGCGGAATGTCCTTCTCGATCTCTTCAATGAGGTCGGCGAGTGCCTCGGAGCCGAGTTTCATGGCCTTGTCGCGCACCGCCGTGTCGGTCGCACTCGTCGCTGCTGATGGTTGCAGAGCACACTGCAGCTCGATCTGTTCTTGGAGCAGCATCGGGAAGATACCCTTGACCACCTATGTACACAGCTTATCCACCAAACGACGACGCCGGCTTGCATACTTGGAGCCGGCGGCGCATCGCGCGCGTGAGCTCGTCGTGCGAGATGAGGCCGTCGCCAGTGGTGTCGATAACGTGAAAAAGGAAGTTGGATTTCTCTTCGAGCGACCCGTGCAGCGTCAAGTAGAGACCAATCTAGCAACACGCAACTTGGTGACGCTTGCGAATCAGCACACGTACGGCAAACTCATCAAACGAGATCCAGTCGCGCGCGCGACGCGGATCGTCGCTGCCGTGAAACATAAACGTCGAAAAGAGCGCCGAGGCCAGCGCTACAGACGCCACTTATCCACTGTATTGAGAGACAGCAAGCTGTACCGGAATTCTTGTTTTGGCAGATCCGACCAAAATCATCGCGTGACGGTGACGCCTGCACCCACGGCGACGCTTGGAGGCTTTGGCACGCGAGAATGAACGCATCCAAATGCAGCTCGTTGCCATCCTCACTTGCGTGCGCCTTGTAGACGCTGTCGAGGTTCGCCAAGTCGATGCTGGTCATCTTGCCGTCGAGAAAGCCGGGTGACGCGACCGAGGGCGGCGCGAGTCGCTGCGCATTCTGGAGCTTTTGCGTGCGCCCAATGAACGCATTGAGCTGTGTGCGCGCCACGTCATCAAAGAAGAGCCGCAGCGCTTGCGAGTGCAGAATGCTCGCGACTTCAAAGGTGACACGAAAGTTGACTTCGCACGACGTCGGCGACACCTCGCGGAAGTTCCACTCGCTACACCGGCACCATGAGCCTTGGCATCCCGTACATGGGCAAAGCAGTACCTCTCGATGGACTTGAACGTAGGCGACTCGATCGACGTGATGAGGATCTTGTGTGGGGCGTGCATGAGCACCCTGGAGCGATACGTCTCAGTAAAGATCTGAAAGCCGACCGTGAGATCGGCCTCCATGACATTGTCATTTGGGCGGCGCACGACGCGTGACGAGACGCAGAACGGCAGGAAGGACGCGTACGCGTCGACGTTGGCGACGACGTCGTACATCTCGCGGCACGAAAATGGCACGACGCGCTTCTCCGTGTGCGACTTGACGAGCGCAGACGCGGGCGAAAAGAGCATATTGGGCAGCGAAAGGAAGGACCGGCGGCTGGCGACCGCAGGAAGGCGGCGCGGCCCGGCCAAGTACGGGCGCAGCAGCATCAGGATGGGCGCAGCCGGTGCTACAACGTCGTGTACCAACGGGACTTTACACTAAAACCGCGTCTAAAAATACCTTGTACACTATTTCCCGGCTTACAGGATGAGAAACACCATTTCAAGTCTCACACTATATTACCACACGGCTAACACTACATGCGTCGTATGGCTGGAATAGGCACCGGAAAAGGTGTGGGAAGAAGCACTCGGCCGCCTTTGCATGAAGTGAGCCAGGACTTCAGTCGGTGTGAAGCACTACTAGTAGACGACAGCGTAAACCTGAAATCGCAACGATGAATGCCAGAAGGATGCTTGTCGCACTGGCGTATGCAGAATGTCTGCAAGCGCACTCGCTGCGCCCACCGGTATGTATCTTGGCTTGCGAACGGGTCGAAGGATACGGAATTGCCGATGATACGTTTGTTGTGTAGCCATGTGCCGCCGATGTCAAGCTCTGCAATGACGGAACGTGGCTGTATCGTGACGTCAAGACCCATTGCACGTTTGCCGCGTGTGCTGACGAGCCCGGCCAAGTATTATCGCTTGAGCCCAAGCCATCGCAAGCACGGATGACGTAGAGGCTAGGGCCAAGATCGCCCCAGCTCTCGCAATAGTTGAATCGCAATCAAGTTGGGAGAATGAATCCTAATCAGTCGTTGCGAGGCTGGTACCCAAGCTTCTTGCAGCTGCACGCGACAGGTTACCCTTCCGCCAGTGGGCAGCGGCTGGTGCAGTCGAGAGCACGAGCCCCCTCGTGGCGGTCGCACACATGCTTGAAGGTTGCGACGATCTTGCGAATCTCGCGAGCGCCACCCACGTTCGCCACTGAACGGTCCCACTGGCGTAGGTCCCCACGTGTCTCCGCGGGCTCCTCGGAGGCACATACACACGAGCGAGCGCTCGAAATGCCGTCATGACAGGCGCACGAAGTGCGAAGTCAATCTCAGGTCCATCGTCGGGCGCGCGGAGAGACACGAAGACTCGGCTACTACGACGCGGCAAGCGCCTTCTGCGTTTTTTTGGCCTCGACAAAGATCGGCAACGGACCAGCGTTGGGTGACCGTAAGCTCCAGCTGGCGTGTCCGTGGACCCAAGTTGGCGTCATTTTTTTAAAATTATCCATCGTTTTGTATGAAAACCAGTCCATTTATTTTGCTTCAACCTTGCGGCGCCCCTTGGCCGTACCTTCCACGGCCCGTAACGCTCTGCCGTTTTTTTCGAATGAAACGGCGTTTGATCGGTCCACGCACGCGTGCCATCTGGCTGTATAAAACAGGGCGCATTCGATGTTTGTATGTCGTGGACATCCAGAGTGTTTGAAACGTCCAGATGGCCGGTCGAAACCGACGCGTTGGTTTCAATCTGACGTTTCGTCGTGCTCCGTGGAGCTCTTCGTGACGGCCGCTCATTGGTGCAAATTGGGTGCGTTTCCAGTTGTGATTGGCGCGAGCCACTTTTTCGCCACAGTTTGCGAGCAAGGAGTTCATTTTGGAATTTGCACCATGAGCCAGCAGTCCCCCATCGATATTGTCCCGACGATCGCCAAGGAGGTCGACAACCACGTCGACTTTACCGTTGGCTGCGACTGCGGCGAGATCGAGCACGGCGGCTCCAACTTCAAGGTCCACTGGAAGGGCGGCAACGACTCGACCTTGGTGCTCAAGGACGTGACGTACCGCCCGATCCAGTTTCACTTTCACACACCGAGTACGTCCGCACATGTTGCACGACGAGCAGGTCAGCTAACGAGCTTTTGTTCCTTAGGCGAACACACGATCGAAGGCAAGGCGTACCCGTTCTGCATGCACCTCGTGCACCAGTCGGAGGACGGCAAGCTCGCGGTCGTCGCCTTCTTCTTTGAGGAAGGCGACGAGAGCAAGTTCTTGGCCCAGGTCTGGGAGCACCTCTCGGAGATCGAACCCCACGGCCCGCGCGTCCTCGTTGACGAAATCTCGTTCGACTCGCTCGACGTGAACGCCGAGAGCTACTTCCGCTACACCGGGTCGCTCACGACGCCGCCGTACACGGAGGGCGTCGAGTGGGTCATTGTCAAGGACCCGCGCCAGGTCTCGCCCGAGCAAATCGCCGAGTTTATCAAGGTCATTCCCGGTGACACGAACGCGCGCGACCTCCAGCCCGTCGTCAGCGGCAAGCTTCTCTTCTGCTGCGAAAACTAACCGCGCAGGCTTCAATATTATTTCTCTTTTTCGTAATTCCAAAGTTTCTTTCTCAGCGACTACTGTACTTGTGCACGGCAAAGCACCGATGTTCGAGAGACGACGACAACCCGATACCAGCTTCAACGATTTCAAGACAAGCGATATGTAATCTTCGTGATAGCACGTCCCCGCCAAACGAGGAAGCGTCCTCACACTGTCCTTCTCGTGGTTGTCCAGCAACACGGCGATCACGTCATAGTGTCGGACAATGCGGTCTCGTGTCTATGACACACCACCGACAAGTTCGCGTAACTTGGGTACGATTGCCTTCACTCGTCCTTCTCTTGGGTGCCCCTTCAAGAGGGTTGCTGCGAGTATCTTGGCCGATCTCGCTCGCCCAGCCCCAGCTTGGAACACATGGTGCGCCCGTTGAATGCAAACGCAAAAGCTCGAACGCTTTGTCGAGCCATGCCGACACGGCGTCGTGTCCATCGCAGGCGCAAGGCCAAGTGCTCGTGCGTATCTGGCGCAGCGCCAAAGGCAAGCATCAACGGAAGAAATCTCTACTCAGATGCGTCCCGTCACATTGCCGTTTCTATCCACCACGGGTTGAGCGAATCGCTTCAAGCCGTCAACATTCCCGCAGCGTAGGTCCTGCAGCAACAGTCTATGTACACTCTAATATTACACGCGCGGAGGTTCTAGTTGCAGACTTCGAGGTGCGCAAAGAGGCGGTGCGTCATCTCGACGCCCAAGAAGAGACTGCCGTCGGCCGGAAACGAGCCCATGACCGCCGAGCTCCACCCGCGGTAGAAGCCCGCAAGCCCTTGGAGACGCCAGACGCTGCGGACAGCAGCCCGAAAGCTCAAGGCCGCGTCCACCTGCATGCGCGACTTGATGACGTCGGCAGGAAACACGACAGTCCAGCTCGTGGCACCAGCGAGGCCGCCTGCCGTGAGCACGGCGGCCGGGTGCAGCTCACGGCGCGACTCGACGCCCAACGCATCCATAAAGTGGTTGGTGTAGTAGTCGTACATGCCAAAGAAGCAAAAGTTGAACGGCACGTCGCGGAGCATGACGGCGGGCAAGCCGGCGGTGAGGCCGAGGAATCCACCCTCGTGTACGATCGTTTTGAGGCAGCGCCAAATACCCATAGATTCGGCGTGCTGGTACGTCTGGAGGCGGCACTTGACGACTTCGGCTGGCGTAATCGCCGCGGCTGAAAAGAAACCGGACGCGCTCCCAACGAGGGCTTCGTCCAACGTCGAGAGCGACGTCGATGGCTCAAACGCGAGGCGGCGGATCGCACCGTTAGCTGAGAAGAGCACTGCATTTTCCAAGATCGTGCTGGAGAGCGCGGGCAGCGCGCCCTTCCAGAGCGACCGGACGCTCTCGGTGCGCACGGTCTTGGCGAGGCAGTCGGCAAAACCACGGTAGATGGGCTGGCGCGACTGCGTCTGGAGACGCACCTTGATGACGTCAAAGGGCAAGCCGATGTAGACGTTGAAGACGGCGCCGACGACGCCGCTCGTCGTCTCTCGCAGGTCCAGGGTCATGCGGGCAAAAGCGCGTCTCACCAATCAAACGGATTGAGATCCTTGCACGCCGCGACCATCTGGTTGTCAGTATACTCAACTCAAGACAAACTCAAGGCGCGCCAACCCAGGCAGGATGATGGCTATCGGCACGCACCCTTACGTTTGCTTAGCGAACCTTATTACGCGACAATGGTCGCAGAGCACCCGACGAGAAGCAATCAATACCCTCTGCTGCTGAAGGATCATTCAGTACCATGTAGGACGCTCGCCACGAGCTGTCGGAGCCATGCTGCTGCGAATCGGCCCGCGTCGAGCTCCAAGCTATGGCTTGTCAGTATGGAGCGCTCGTGTGGTCGGAAGTTGTGAGCTTCTAATACCTCTTGTGCATGGAGGGTTATTTGTTCACGATAGTTTATATCGAAGGGTACGATTTGAGCCAAGCGCTGGAGTTGCAGAGCGTCCTAGCCGCGGTTTGATGTGCCAGGGTGTTGGGTGTATTTAGACAACATTTCAGCGAGGATTCACATATATAATAGTGTATATATGCATAATAGTGTAATGCTATAGTCGCCGCTCACGATTTGTGCTTCGATGGCAAGACAGACACGGCCAAAGACTGGTGTGGACTACTGGTAGTGCCACGCGCCTCTAGCCCGGTATGGTTGTGCCTTTAACGCTACTCTAGCTGCTTCAGTACCGGCACCGAATTTCACGGGTTGTTGAAATCGATCAACATTCTGGTATATAGTGCGTTTTATTAGAGTATTCTGAGTGTCAGAGTCCCTGTTTTAGAAAGGGCAACGGCAATGTCGAGCGCGCTTGTACCCGGTGACCGCTCGCTCGTCCGGCTGCTACTCTACACGGTGGTCAACGCTCTCTGGAGCGCATGCGCGCTTGCTTTTCTCGCGCTAGCGACGATCTGGACGTGTATCGAGTCATGTGGCATGCACCGCCGGTCGTTGGCCGCGCGAGGGCTGTACCCTGTCCGCGCCGTGACCCAGACCCTCTGGCGCATTGAAATATTCGTCCACGCACTCTACGATACTAAGGCAGACCTGCGGCTCGTCGCGCTTGACGACGTTACGCCAAGCCACGCGGGCTGGACCTTGGTGTACGTCTTCTGTTGGCGGTCGCTCCAAGTGGGCTTCTACGACTCCGTTGCGGCTTCACTCATGACCGAGTATACCGCAATGTGTGCACGGGCATCGACAGCGGTACCTTCGTGGGTAAGCAGCCTCCCGCTCCCGCTGACGCTGACACCAGCGCCCCAAGTCGAGCCCGTCTCGGCGTGGTCCATGGCAGTCATTTGCATCTTCTTCTTTTTCGTCAACTGGATCGCCGTCACCATCTTCGTGTGGGTCACCAAGCAGACCTACTACGCGATCTTTGGCGAGCTCGTGATTGCGCGCGTCGACGGTAGCCAGCACCCGCTTCTCCCAACGACAACGTCACCACCGGCGTCGTTGTACACGGTGCCCCGCGCCAAGGGTGCGCCCGCCCCGTATCTGCTGCCGTTCACGCGGGCGCCGCCGCTCGGCCCGCCACCCGCGTACGAGCCAACGTTGGCTGCAAAGTCGTCGTCCAGCACCAGTGAGCCGGGCGGCTACCAATACAAGCTCGTCGAGCGCAACGGCATACTCGGATTCCCGGTGCCACTGCCGCCCATGTCGGCCTCATCGCCTCCGACCAAGTCGCTGTGGACGCGCCTCTTTACGCAATCTTCAGCGGTCGATGCACCCATGAATGTGTCGCACGCCGAGGACTTGGTCAATGTCGACGTTGCAACGCTGGAAGACGCCCCACGCATCAAGATTGTGCCGCCGGCCGTCGGTAGCCGCGAGCTCAAGACTCATCACGTAATCGAAAGACCACCACCAGCACTCGTCACCCGTTCAAGCTTGGAGCTGCCAGATCTGGACAACGACGCAAGTGCCCCAGAGACAGAGACGGCAGCGGACGTGGAAGTGGTTGACGAGGAGCCAATGCAAGGCCGCATCCTCTTTTCGCAAGTGATTGCGCCGAGCACCAATCGCATCTCGATTCGCGTCGACGTCCAACTTGACGATGCCGCGCCGGGCGTCGCACTGCACCTCGGGCTTCCGCTCCCGCAAGGCGAAGTGCGCTGCGCCTACGTCATTCTTGCTGTCGGCGAGCACTCGATTGACGTGCTTGTTGCTGATGCCAGTGCTCAGTCGCTCTGGCTCTGCAAGGCCACCATCGGTACCCTCGTGCGCATCTATGGCGTCGACACGACATTGCAACTGCCGCTTCCGACCACCGATCAACCCGCGACGGTCAGCGATCGCAGCGACGTCGAAGAAGACGAGGACTTTGTCGCTCCGGCTGCCGACGTGGTCGTTGTGCCGCAGCTGCCGCAGCAGGCGGGCTGGGTCTCGCCGACGACCTATGCGCCAGCTCACACGTATGGCGCGATGACACCGCTCGGCGTGGCCTCGGCTTCGTTCGTGTCTGACTTTGCCAATGATGGCCCCGAGTACGGCGCCTTGTCGCCCACCGCAGCGATGACGAATACAGAAGCCTTTACGCTGCCGCAAGTGACGCGTGCCTTGCCGATGGACCCGACATCGATCCAAGACCGCGTGCACTTTACTGCGTACGCGCCCCCAACCGTCGTCTGCGGCACAACATTTACCTTTTCGATCTGGGCGTTTCTGGTGCATCAGCAAAGCGAGATGCACGAAGAGGCGACGGCCGAGGGTGACGCGGCGCAGCTCTCGCGCGACGTCTTGCTGCGCGTGCGCCGCGGTGCGTTGGTGCATGTCACGCTGACAACTCCCGACGGTTTCGTGCTCTGTGACGAGCCAACGCAGGTGCTGGCGTGGCACGGCGACGTGACGCGCGTCGCGTTTCGGATCGAGTGCGGCGCGTTCGTCGACGTCGGTCAAGTCATGTTCTCTGCGTCCATTGTCGTTGGCGCTGAGGTGCTGCGTCTTCGGTCCTATGTCTTTGTATCCGCGTCAGCACTGCCATCATCTGCCCTCGACACGGCAACCGAGGTCGCGTTCGACCTCGAGCGACTGCCGCAGACGTACGAAGAGATCGCGTACGACGAGCTCGAGATGAGGAACCTTGTGGGTCGAGGCAACTTTGGCGATGCGTACCGCGCTCGGTACCGCGGCCAGGACGTACGTTGTCTTCTACTGAGACTCTGAGATCTTACTCGATGTGTAGGTCGTGGTCAAGACGCTCCGGCCGAGCGAGTTTGGCGACAACCAAGACCAGATCGTGCAAGAGTTTCGGCACGAAGCCGCGGTGCTGTCGCTCTTTGGGCACCATCCCAACATTGTGCCGTTTGTGGGTGCGTGCACAGACCTCTCGCAGCCGCTGAGTCTCGTGACCGAGTACTTTCCGTTCGGGAGTCTTGAAGACCAGAGCCGAGAGCACACGCTCTCGACCGAGCAAAAGACGCGGCTTCTCTACGACGCTGCCAACGGCTTTCTCAACATCCACGAGGGCGGCTTCATCCACCGCGACATTGCTGCTCGGTGCATCGATCCCTAACCCTACCCTAATCGCGCTCACGCATCTTTCGCTTAGGAATTGCTTGGTGGACGATGGACTTCGCGCCAAGGTATGCGATTTCGGCCTGTGTCGGCGCGTGCGTTCGTTTGGCGGATCGCACTTTCCCGAAGGCATGGTGCCGCTCAAGTACATGGCGCCCGAGTCGCTCACGCCACCCCACGCGTTTTCGTACCAGTCGGACGCGTACTCGTTTGGTGTCTTGGTCTGGGAGACGTATATGGAGACGCCGCCGTACGCCAACGTGCCGAGCCACTTGGCGGCGGCACGGATACTCGAAGGTGCGCGGCTGGACGTGGACGCAGCTTCCATCCCCGAGGTCCACCGCGCGTTCCTCACCACGTGCTTCCAGCAGGACCCGTCGAAGCGCCCGAGCATGACCGACATTGTCCGTCACTTTGCATCGACATCAAACTGAAACGAGTGCGATAATAATCTTGTCTACTAGTACTTCGTATTAAAGTAGTGCATCCGGTGGGCAATATATCGAGCCGCAATTAGAACTCAGAACTTGCAGTGTGTTGTAAAACAGGATCTATCCGAATTGAGGTTGCCTGGAATAGGATAATGCCTACTGGATCCTTGCCCAAGATCGCTCGCGATCCATTTCCATTTCAGTCTCAGAGCCCGATGGACGATCCGAGCGAGACGATTGTCATCGCGCCGGCGACGAAGGCGCCCAAGCCGCGCCGCAAGAAGACGCCCAAGAAGCAAGCGCCCGCAGACGAGGCCGCCGGCGACGACGCAGCCGCTAGACCATCACTCACGACGCACCCGGCGGACGGGGAGCCCGTGACCGCACACGAGACCAAGCCGCGCCAGAAGCAGAAGAAGCAGCCTATGATATCGCCGAACGTGCAGCCACCGCCCGCGCCGATCGGTGCGCAACCGGCGTCCTCCGACTCGCCCGGCGACAACGGTGCCTCGGCGCCAGCCAAGAAACGTCGCCCGCGCAAGAACAAGCCCAAGCCTGCATCGTCTGCTACCGTGGCGACTGCGGACGCGACAGTGGACGCGACCTCGAGCCATAGCGTCCCCAACGACACTGGAATGGTCGCGTCGCCCAAGACCAGCGCCAGCGCCATGCCAATGTCGCCGAAGGTCAAGGAAAACCCCCCGACAATCGCAGACGCCAAGGTCTCCAAGACCAAGAAGAACAAGAAGAAAAAGGCCAAGAGCGAAAGCACAGTGCCTCTTGAAGAGGGTTCGTCGGCGGCGGATGGTGTATCGCTGCTGCTCGGCGCAACGTCCCTGGTGAAGGAGCCCAAGAAATTCGATCGCCAGACAAAGAAAGCAGTCGCGACTACCGACTGCGCCACGACAGCAGTCGAAGACAAACCGGCGCTTGGCACCAAGAAGAAGAACAAGAAGCAACCACACAAGGACGCTGTCCGCAAGGCCTCGGACGACGCGCCGGCGCTCAGTGACAAGCCCACGCCGGCGCCCAAATCCAACAAGTCGAAGAAGGCAGGCGACCCGCTCTACGCGGCCCATGTCTCGGAGAAGGACGCGCACGTTGGTCTTGCGAGAGGCACGTACCTCCAAGGTCTTCTTCGCGTCAGTAAAGGCAACAAGTACGACAGCTACGTGACCGTCGAGGGCCTCGACACAGACATCAACATCCACGGGGTTGTCGACCAGAACCGCGCGGTCGACGGCGACCTCGTCCTCATTGAGCTGCACCCGCAGTCGCAGTGGAAGACGACGTCGTCGCCAAAGACATCCACAGTCGTCGTGCCAACGTCGACAACGGTCGTGCCGCCAGGTCTCTGGAACCCGCTAGTGACGGCCACGTCGCCGGGGCCGAAACCCGCGAGCACCAAGGGCACGTCGGCGCTGCAGGCAACGCTCTCAGCCCTAGAAGCGCGCCTCAAGAACGCCAGCCTCCAGCCCACGGGCAAGGTCGTGCGCATCGCCAAGCGCGGCGACCACGTGTACATTGGCACGGTGCGTGTCACAAGTGGTGCTGCGCTCTTTGACGCGCGCGACGAGCGCCTGCCCCGGGGCATCCGCATTCCGAGCGGCACGATGCCGAGCGAGTACACGACGGACCCTGAAGAGTTTTCCACCACCAAGCTGTGCATTGTCAAGCTCGGCACATGGGCAACGAGCCACCGGTCGCCACAGGTACCATTGCAGACGACAGGAGAGTTCATGATCGCGGGATTGATTAGGGAATTTTTGTGCAAACCACTGGGTTGATTGGTACGAGCGCGCCCGAGATCGAAGCGCTCCTCATCGCCACGGGCGTGGAAGATCATTTGTTGCCGTTTGTTCCGGCGATCGAAGCGTCGCTGCCGTCCGAAGACTGGGTCGTCCCGGACGACGAAGTCGCGCGCCGCCGGGACCTCCGCGACTGGACCATCTTCTCGATCGACCCGTGGAACGCGCGTGATCTTGACGACGCGCTCTCGATCCAGCGCCTCGCCGACGGCACGTTTGAGATTGGCGTGCACATTGCCGACGTTGCGCATTTTGTGGAGGCGGGGTCGCCTCTCGACGCCGAGGCCAAGCGCCGCTGCACCAGTGTGTACTTGGTCAACCAGGTGCTGCCGATGCTACCGCGCCGGCTCTGCGAGTCGCTCTGCTCGCTCCAGCCGTACACGGACCGGCTCGCCTTCTCGGTTCGGTGGTCGTATCATTGATAGTGTATTCAATTCCGAGATGGTGTAGGTGGTGTGGCGTATGCATCCCGACGGCATGTTTGTCGTCGACGCGCCGATTTGGTATGGCAAGACGCTGATTCGGTCCGTGTGCCAGCTCGACTATGGCACGGCGCAGCTCTTGCTCGAGATGCCATTGCAGCAAAACGGCGACATGACGTACTCGGAAGAGATGTGGCCGACCGCGCGGCGTCCGCAAGATGCATCCCTGTACCGGGTCGTGCACGAAAATGTCCAGCAACTCTGGTCGCTGGCTCAAACGCGCCGCCGAGTGCGCTTCGAAACCGGCTCGGTGAGTCTCCAAAACACCAAGTTGAGCTTTGTGCTCGATGGCGATGCGCCGAGAAGTGTCGCATCGTACCCGATCCGCGACTCGAACCGGCTCATTGAAGAGTTCATGCTTGTTGCCAACTTTCTCGTCGCGCAAAAGCTGCTCCAGGCACCGCACAACGTCGCTGTTCTGCGGCACCACCCGGTGCCCGACCCAGATCAGTGGCCCCGGGCGTGGCACGACCTTGCAGCGATCGGTATCACAAAAGACCCGAGCGTCGAGCTCAGCACGTGGCTCGACGACCTCTTGGCGACGCGGGGCGAGCGTGTCTTCTCGGCCGTCATGCACGTACTCACCAAGCCGATGCAGCCGGCTGCGTACAATGTGGCCGACCAGCTGACGCACGACGACCGCCATTATGCGCTCAACATTCCGTACTACACGCACTTTACATCGCCGATTCGCCGGTACTGCAAGTCTATGTCCATGACCTCAGTTGGATGGTGTAGGTACGCCGATGTGCTCGTGCACCGTCTCCTGCTTGCAAGCCTCACAGACGAGCGCGTGGGCGTCAACCCCGACGACGTGGATCGCTGCAACCGCCAAAAGGCCAACGCCAAGAATGCGCAAGTCGGCTGCGACAAGCTCTTTTTGGCCATGTACCTCGCCGAGAAGCCAACGGAAACGAGTGGCACGGTCGTCGGCCTCGGCAACAAGAGCTTCACAGTGCTCATGCCCGAGTTTGGGTTCGAGAAGCGTCTCTTCTTGGAGGACATTGGCGCGACGGGCGAGCTCGACAAGCTCACCAACCACCTCAAGATCTCGGTCTTTGGCGCTAAGCTCGACCTCGGCTACTTCTCCGAAGTGCGCTTGAAGCTCTCGGCGACTCGAGTTCCTCTGGAGATTGTCGTCGACCTGGTCGTAGCCTAGACTCTATCTTCAATAACCTTTGTCACCATACACGAGCACTGGCTCGGCACGAGTGCGATGTAATACTACATTGGTCCATGGATATTTGATGACTGTAAAGAACCAGATGTCCTTAGCTTGGTTGACTGACGTCATTGTCGTCTTGCCCAAGAAACGAAAGAGAAGTGGAATCAACAGTTGGGGCATGTTTGAACCCATACCACGAGGCAAAGCTAGAGGGGCATCTCTCTTGTTGCGTCGGCGTCCGCTTCAATCGTCTATCGCTGGCAGTCAGAGGCGTCGGCATTAGCTGCCGGTCGTGTGCCGTGCGGGCTCCGTAACGTGTGCTTACCGTCCAAGCAGTCACGAGTCTTGAGATTGGTCGGATAGTCTGATTGGTGATGGCGTCTGGGAAGATGCGGTGCGTCTCAGATACCAAACTCAGATTGGTCGAGCACCTGGATTTGTCCTGTCTGAGTACGCATCTGATTTTGGATATCCAAAACGCAATGACTCGTGATGGAAACCGCATTTTGGCATTCGCCGTCGACACGCCGTATGCAGCTGCTCGTACGGACGTGTCTTCTTGCGCTTCTCAGCGTCGTCGCCGCCGCAGCCGTCGGGTCGGCCGGGGCGCTCTCGCCGCTTTCGCTCTCGTTTGATGGCGGCGCGCCGTTTCGCCACGTCATCGAAAAGCCCAAGGCCACGTACGTAGCGGTGCATTTTGCGAGCCTTGACATACCCATCAACGGAACGCTTCGCCTCGTTGACAAGAGCGGGCAGGATGTTGTGGCGTTTGCCGGCGGTGACCATCGCGGCAGCTTCTTCGCCGAGTGGCTCGCGGGCGACGCCGTTACCCTTACGTACGACGCACCGCACTACGAGGCGCGGTCGACGCCCGTCTTTGTCATCGATAAGGTGGCCTTTGGACACCGCGTTGGCGTGACTGAAGAAATTTGCGGCGAAGACTTTACGCGACCGGCATCCTGCTACCGCAACACGAGCATGCACGCGCCGAGCCGCGCCGTCGCCCGGCTTCTCATCCAAGGCATCTCCGAGTGCACGGGGTGGCTCATTGGGTCCGAGGGTCATTTGATTACAAACGAACATTGCATCGGTATCGACGAAGACGGGAGCGAAGTGCAAGTCGACTTGGGGGCCGAGTGCGACTGCGACGACGCGAGCCAGCACAACGTCCACGGCGCGTGCAAGGGCACGATCGTCGCAACAAATGCTACGTTTGTCATGTCGGACACGGCCAACGACTTTGCGCTCTTCAAGCTCAACGTCAAGGACGGCGTGGATTTGAGCCAGTGGGGCTACCTCCAGGTGCGCGCGTCCGGGCCGGCGCTCGGGGAGCACGTGTACGTCTCGGGCCACCCCAACTTTTGGAGCAAGCGTGTGTCGGCATATGTGGCGAACAACGTGATGGGGGAAATTACCAAGCTTAGCCACGACATGGACAATGGACCGACGCCGTTGGAGTCGTGCCAGAAGGACGAGTTCACGTACAACCTCGGGACGCTTGGGGGCAACTCGGGCTCGCCTGTCCTCTCGGCCAAGGACCATGTGGTCGTCGGCTTGCACAACTGCGGGTCGTGCGGCGAGTATGGCAACGGCGGCATCAAGTTCAACAAGATCGTGGCGCAGCTCGAGAGTAAAGGCGTGCTGCCGCCCAATGCGATCGCCAAGACTCACTGCTGAACGAATAACGGCATCTAGATAGAAGTAGGACTCGCTGGTACTGTAGTATACGTTTAAAGCTGATGTTTTCGACTTGAGCGTTGTGTGCTTGCTGGGCCTTAGAGTCTCGTCTCTGGTTCCCTTTGAAGGACTCAAGGACGTGTTGTAGCCCCTTGTCGACACGGTGGAGCGACTACTTGTTGTTCATTGTCATTCGATCGGCCAAGTGGCGCGACGTAGTGATGAGGCTCGAGTCCATGACCATGTCAAAGCTCGACCGGCGCTTGCGCATCTCGGTTTGGCGCCATGCTGCCACGGTTCTGTCGAGACGCTGGAGCGTGCTTGTATTCTGTAGGCGGCTGTACCCATGGACTTCACGGTGCCGCGAGTCGACGTCGCCGCACCAGAGCTTGACCGTCTCGACGTCTTTGCGCAGCTGGACACTGCCCGCTTCCGAGACTTTGGTGATACTTGCGAGCTCCCTACATCGTCGCAAGTGCGTTGGTATCTGCACGGCATCCAAGCGCCACAGCTCGTACTCGATCCAGGCTTCAAACGTGTGACGCGACACGAGATGCAGAAGGTAAGTGCGCGATGCAATATTGGGCTCAGAGACAAGAAAGGTTCCCAGCGGCTGTAAGATGACATGCAGGAGCTCTTGTGCGTACGGGCTCGTCTACTTCGACGCTTGGACTAGTACGCGAGAGCATTCCTACCCGAAGCGCCATGCGATCCGCCGCCGAGGGTGTCGCTGGAATCCCTTGCCGATCGCAAATGTGCTTGGCCGCCTACGCTCCTTCTTGATATGTATACACCTCTAGGATGCATACCCGCGTGATGAGAGCTACCCACTCTTCGGTCCAGAGCGCCAAGTGCAGCTTGAGCTGCGCCTGGAGCTCTTCGAGTGGCGTGACGAGGGTGCCTGTAAAGGCAGGTGCATACGAAATCGACTCGAGGTACGCGGCGACGACGCTTAGTACAGCGTCGATGCTCTGCGTCGTATGCAAAAGGACGCGGTGGAAGCTGCCGACGCTCAGTAGCACGTCCATCGACACGGTGGGCGCCTTGGCGAAGGTCAAAAGGTCCTGGGCAAGAACAATCTGGAGAAAGAGCCGTATGGATGGCAAGAGAATCATCGCGCTGCTGCTGGGACTGTGCGCTTCGTCGGACCGTCCGCATGTGATGAGCTCCTGGAGCGATGCTCCGAGGCGTTCGGTTGCCGCCGCGTCCTGCAGTAGGTGGACCGGTGGCGAAGCAAATGCCTTGCGAAACGCAGCGTGCAGGTGGAGGCAGCGCACATAGGTGGTCACGGGTAGCTGCGAAAATGACGGCATCGATGGCAGCAGCGGCGGGTCCGTCCCATCCGAGCTTGGGCTTGACGGTGCGGCCATCCGTGTCGGTTTCGGCCACTTCGTTACATTGCCCTTTCCAGATGTCAATGGACGGGCACTCTGCTCGTCAACCCGAGAGATAATTTCGAGCATGAGGTGCAGCGTTGGGGTGGTGGTTTAGCGTGCTATGTAGTGTACAATGTATGGCAGGCCTTGACCAACTCTTTGTTAGTTAGTCGACGTACAGGACAACATTCGAGTTGTTGCATTGTCCACATGACGCGATGCGATTGGCCAAAATGAAGACGCAAGTGGTTGGTGAAACAAATCCGACTTTTAGCCAATCCCAAGCCGCCCTGCGACGACCAATAGATTCATCACTTCAAGTTCCACCAACGCGGTACGTCGGCGAGGGCCATGGCCGAGGGTCTGAGCAGCCTCTGCGTAGTAGTCGCCGAACCATGGAAGTACTGACGAAGGTCGAGAAGGACATCAAGCTCCTCCAGGAGAAGATTGGCGAGTTCCGCGAGACGCTCTCGGTAGGCCAAAGCGGCGCCTGCCATACGTCATGCTCATCACGGCGGCGTAGGACAAGCTGCCGACGGACTCGGGCATGGGCCTCCTCCAGATCAAGAACCATGCGCTCATGCAGTACTCGCAGCTCTCGATGTTCTTTGCGCTCCTCAAGGTAGACCATGGCACGCGGTGGCGTATATCTCATATCATCGTTGACAGCTCGAGTCGCCCGACGCCGTCAAGGACCACCCTGTCTTCAAGGAGCTCGTCCGCTACCGCACGATCCTCGAACGCATGCGGTACGTCTCTCTGTTTGGCAAGAGCACCCTGGTCACCGCGCTTATCTAGCCCGCTGGACCGGAAGCTCAAGTACCAAGTCGACAAGCTGCTCAAGATTGCCGTCTCGGACGTATCCCAGCTCGACGAAGCGCTGAGCTACGCGCCCAACCCGGACGCTTTGAAGGCCGACGATGACGCCGACTCGGACGACGCTGGCGACGACGACGGCGACGACACGTACGAGGGCAAGAAGTCCAAGGACGGTGTGTACCGTGCGCCCCGCATGGCGTCCGTGCCGTACGACGAAGAGGAGAAGGAGGCCGACAAGAAGGCCAAGCGCGACGAGCGCAACCGCAAGCGCCTCGCCAAGAGCACGATTTTGTCCGAAGTTCGCGAAGAGTACAGCGAGCGGCCGCAGGAGATCCTCACGAGCGGCTCGTCGGCGCTCGACAAGGAACTCGCAAACGAAGCTCGCGAGAAGACCGACTACGAAGAGGAGCGCTTCGTGCGTCTCGTCACGTCGCGCAAGGACAAGATCCGCAAGCGCCAGCGCGAACGCGACGCGATGGCCGCCGACTCGATCGGGAAGATCGACAACTTTGCCGGCATCCACGAAGCGCTTGGCGACGTTGTCAAGGGCCAAAACAAGGGCCGGTACGTGGCGCCCGCCCAGGGCAAGAAGATTGGCGGCAAGATTGGCGGTATCTTTTCGCACTTGGAGGCGCCGAGCGCCAAGAAGCGGTCGGCCAGCGCTGCGTCGGGCCCGGCATCGACGCCGGCGTCATCGGCGACGTCGAGTGCGCCGGCGGGGAAGAAGCAAAAAGTCAAGTTTTCGCTCAACCTGTAAATGCAATGCAGCTCAATTTGTTTATACTATCTCTTCTCAGACAAGTTGTCTTCGTTCTTGGACGGCAGTGACAAGCACGTCATTCCAAAGGCCCTCATTCCGTGTGACTGGTCTACCGCTGCGTCCAAGGGATACTAGTATGGCGGATACCACGTTAGACGTAAGGCTCGGCAACTCGGGGCTGGCATACGGTCACGAGACACTCGGAAGCCCGTACTTTATTGCAGCTCAGGCATACCGCCCAGCACCACAGGTTCCATATTCGGGAATTAAATTCACATCGGCTGACCTGACACTAGGCTTTTGTACTGAGCACGCTGCTATATATATATATATATATATATGAACGTGTTCCGCGTTATCTTCATTATGACACAAAGTCTTCGCATACGTAGCGCTACGCCTGAATGAGCACGCTGCTATAACTGTATGAATTAGTTGCAGCCAGCGGACCGACCTGTCGATCAGAGTAGCCGTGTAATGCAGCAGCTGCAACAGCCCACGCAGCACACAGTAAACAACGTTTTAGCAAATCCATCTTCCCCGTGGGGCTCAACTATCGCAAAGCAGCTCGTTTGCTCGCTCGAGCATGACTGCACCTCACACCACGAAAAGCCAAAGCTAACTAACGTTAGTATTAAATACGGCAGGACGGTAACTTGTCACTCGAGTGCCAGCAGCACCTGCGCCATGCTCGGCCGCTTGGACGGGTCGTCGCGAAAGCACTGCGTCACGAGGTCTTGCAAATGCAGCGGAATCGCCTCCGAGAGTGCCAATCGGTCGCCCGACAAGACGCGCGCTGCTGCCTCGGTACCGTTCAGACCCACAAACGGACTCACGCCGTGGTACGTCTCCCAGATCAAGACGCCGAACGAGTAGACGTCCGACTGGTACGAAAAAGCGTGTGGCGGCGTCAGCGACTCGGGCGCCATGTACTTGAGCGGCCCCGTCCCGTGCGCAAAGTAGCTGCCGCCCACCGCGCCGACGCGCCGACACATGCCAAAGTCGCACACTTTGGCGTTAAGATTCGCGTCCACGAGGCAGTTGCTAGTTCAGATGTGAGATTCTCAGATACCAGATCATCTCATCTCAGAGAGACAAGAAAAGAGAGATCGTACCGGGCTGCAATGTCGCGATGGATGAACCGACCTTCGTGCATGTTCAGAAAGCCGGACGCCGCACCCTTGAGAATCTGCTGCTTCTGCGCCGCACTCAACTGGGAACGCTGGTCTTCGAGACTCCCAAACGGAAGGTACTCGGTCACGAGACTCAGCGGCTGCGAGAGGTCTGTGCACGCACCCACAAACGGCACAATGTTGGGATGGTGCCCAAAGAGCGACAGCACCGCGGCTTCGTGCCGAAACTCTTGCACGATCTGGTCTTGGTTGTCGCCAAACTCGCTCGGCCGGAGCGTCTTGACCACGACCTACACATCGAGTAAGATCTCAGAGTCTCAGTATGAGACAACGTACGTCCTGGCCGCGGTACCGAGCGCGGTACGCGTCGCCAAAGTTGCCTCGACCCACAAGGTTCTTCATCTCGAGCTCGTCGTACGCGATCTCTTCGTACGTCT